GGGGGGGGGGGGGGGTAAAGCCCAGTAATTTGTGTTTTTAACAAGCCCTTCAGGTCATTCTAATGCACTCTAAAGTTTGAGAACCACTGAGTCAGAGTAAAACCATAAAAATACTAGGTGACTGATCAGCTACAAGAGGAGAAAGGCAGGGGAAAAGCCAAGCATCGTTCCAGCTCAATGGAGAACTTGGGAAAACTAAGTTTCTGCAAGAGAAGAGAAAGAAAAAAACTAAACAAAAATGTATAATGCCTTTAGAAACTACTTTAAGAAAAGAAAGGAGAAGCACAGGGTCTACAAAATTACTTCTCAGACCTGATTATACACAGAAAGGTTAGTTGAAGAGAGAGAAACTTTGCTGCAAAGCAGTGGGACCTGCAATTCGCAGCTGTTCATAAACGGTGACCATTAGCTCACGTCTCATTGGATTTTGCAAACATGCCAACTGATAGTCACAGCAAATCTCAGGGCCTGTCTCTGGAAGAAGTAGCACAAGCAATATCAAATGCCCTCTGGGCTATGATAGAAAAATTCTTCAAGAAAGAAGCCCTTTTAAGAAGTGTGTTTATTCTATCAATTCTGGCACCCAAATTCCATTCACAAGGCAGTGAGCACAAAAGGCTGTCTCCACCGTGGGCTCCCTGGCAGTAAATGAGTTAGCCAACAGTCAACAGCTAAGAAAGTGGCCTCCAAATGTCCATACTCAATTAACACATTTACAAAATTCCTCTTGCTACCCCTTCCTCTGCTACCCGACTACTCTAAGAGAAATGGCATAAACTCCTCCAAGAAAATGGGCCCCATTCTGGCTTCCTGAGGCAAAAACTCCACAGTGCCACCTTAGTGAATTCCCCAAATAACCCTCCTCCAACCCTCCCAACTCAGGTTTTTACTTCCCAAAATGTTGACAGTGGATTCATGTGGTTACATTTTTTTGCTAAATAAGTGTTGAGTACGGATCAACAACAGAGAGGGCAGGAGGCTGTAAGTGGCCTTCTCCACATTAGAGGAGGTGGGGTTACCCTGCCCCACGTGGCTGTGTTAGAACAAGGGTAATACAGAAACTGACCTAACATCCTGAACATGTCTAGGTCGCCACAGCACTTCTACAATCCCAGGAGGCCAAGACTGGGGCAGGGGCAGATGTTCCTTAGATGAAATACTAACTAATCTTTCCAAAATGTATACACAAGTTCTAATTTAAAATAAAATTTAAAAAATAGAAGAAAAAAGGAGTCATACTCACTCAGTTCTTTGCCAACTGCTGCCACAACACAGTTCTTAGGTATTTCAATCAAAGCACTGATCCCTTCAAAAATATATAAATCAGAGGTCAAATTATTTTCTTTGTGAATTACATCAACAAAAACATTCTCAGTCTAATGTCAGTCATGTACTATAAAGGGAGTAGTCACAATAAAGTACACACACTTTTCTACATCACACTTGCTTGCTTACACATAGAAAATGATTTTGTGCAAAGTAGGTCAGGCCTTTGGAAGACATTATTGATCTATGAAGGTAGGATATACTCTGAACATTTTTACTATTAGGGTTAACTTATTAACCAGGGATCCCTAAAGACAATTACCATCACCATTTACAAGATAGCTAGTTCAAATGAGATGTAAAATTGGCATTTTCCTTAATTTAACTTTAAGAATCCTGAGTGGGCTCCCTGGCAATAAATGAGTTAGCCAACACTCAACAGCCAAGAAAGTGGCTTTTAAATAGCATGTTTATAATCAATTAATACATTTACAAAATTCCTTGTATTACTGGAATAACCAGATCCAACATTCTACCGTATTTCCCTTATTTAAATATAGAGTTCCAAGAACCTTTTTAAAGCTGAATCATAAAATGAGTTTAGGGTAACCATAACTTCTATAACATATGTTAACTTCTGTAACATGTTATAATTATTACTTTTGTCAGTAAGAGTTAAAGAATTGATGTTTTAGATTCAGAACCACCACATATGTAGGCAACAAAACCTACTAAAGTTAATTTTTCCATTATGAAATATATGTAACGTGTGTATGTATGTGTGTGTGTGTGTGTGTGTGTGTGTGTGTATGTATGTGTGTAATTTATAACATTCAAATTTGAAAAATATTCTACTCATCTGCTTTGCCTTCTCACCCATCAAAAGACTAGCACTCTTGTAATTTGGGGAGTAAATCTCTCTATCATTTTTCCCCACACAGGGCTGCTTTAACAGTATGTATGCCTTTCCCAAGTTCAAGCGGGGATGGGGTAGGGTGTGACTGTAGAGGAGGGTGCAAGGGAGGCGTTAGTGGTACAAGATAAAAAAGAGCCCTGGCCAGTGTGGCTAAGTGGTTAGAGCACCGACCTGTGTACCAAAGGGTTGAGGGTTCAATTCCCAGTCAAGGGCACGTACCTGGGCTGCAGGTTCAATCCCCAGCCCAGGTCGGGGAATGTGCAGGAAGCAACCAATCCATGTGTCTCTCACATAGATGTCTCCTCCCCCAGCCTTCCATTCTATCTAAAATCAGTAGAAAAATATCCTCAGGTGAGGATTAGCCCAAAAAAAATGTAAAAGAGATAGAGCACAGGGAGGAGAAGGAAGAAGAGAATTCTATGTGCAGAAAACAAAAAATGTTTATCAAATTATTTGTGAAGTGAAAATAATGGAAAGTTGATAATTCAGAAGTAGCAATTTAATACACAGAATCACATAACACATTACTGGAAAGGGCATGGATGTCCTGTCTTTTAGTTCAAGGCTCTTTCCACTGCATCATACTAAGATTAGCTTTGCCTATTTCCAAATATGGAGTAACTGCCCCTAACAGCCATGCTAGCCCATAAATGGAGCAAGGCTTGTGAAAGGAGCTTCATGAGAAGCTCCTAATAGCAAGCCCTGCTCACTACCCGGCACCCTGTAATTTGGAAAATCCAAATCACGAAAAGCGCACCACTGGTGACATATGTGGCCTCGTCAAAGCTTTCCAATAGAGTCTCTTAAAAGATTCTGCTACCTTGAGTAACTGATAAACAGGGCATTACTCTGCCTAAGGCAACTTGCAAAATAAAGAGAGATTGTAATAATAAGTGGTACTTTTCATTAACATACAAAAGGTTCCTTTTAGCCCTGATTTCAATATTTTACAACATAGTTACCGGAAGTCTTTACTTTATTGCACTTTGCCTTAATGAACTGCACAGATACTTTTACAAATTCAAGGTCTGTGGCAGCTCTGCATTGAACACGTCTATCAGCACCATTTTTCCACAGCATTTGCTCACTTCGTGTCTGTGTGTCACATTTTGGTAATTCTCACAATATCTGGATTTTTTTCACTATTATTATATTTGTTACGGTGATCTGTGATAGTGATACCTGATGTTACTATTTTAATTGTTTGAGGACACCATGAACTGTGCCCATATAAGACAGTAACTTAACCCATATATGTTGTGTGTGTTCTGACTGCTCCACTGACCAATCATTCCGTCTCTCTCCCTCTCTCCTCGGCCTCCCTATTCCCTAAGACACAACAATATTGAAATTAGGCCAATTAATTACCCTACAGTTGACTCTAAGTGTTCAAGTGAAAGAGAGTCACAGGTCTCTCACTTTAAATCAAAAGCTAGAAATGATTAAGCTTAGCGAGGAAGGCATGTCAAAAACCGAGGCTGAAAGGTAGGCCTCTTGTACCAATTAGCCAAGTTGTGAATGCAAAGGAAAAGCTCTTGAAGGAAATTAAAAGCCCTACTCTAGTGAACATATGATTAATAAGAAGGTGAAACAGCCTTACAGCTGATATGGAGAAAGCTGTAGTGGTCTAGATAGAAGATCAAACCAGCCACAACATTCCCTAAGCCAAAGCCTAATCCAGAGAAAAGCCCTAATTCTCTTCAGTTCTATGAAGGCTGAGAGGTGAGGATCCTGCAGAAGAAAAGTCTGAAGGTAGCAGAGCTTAGTTCATGAGGTCAAAGGAAAGAAACTGTCTCCATAACATAAAAGTACAAGGAGGAGCAGCAAGTGCTGATGTATAAGATGCAGCAAGTTATCCAGAAGATCTAGCTAAGATAATTAATGAAGGTGGCTACTAAACAACAGATTTTTGATGTACATGAAACAACCTCTATTGGAAGATGCCATCTAGGACTTTCATGTCTGGAGAGGAGAAGTTAATGCTTGGCTCCAAAGCTTCGAAGGACAGGCCGGTTCTCTTATTAGGGGCTAACGCAGCTGGTGAGCTTAAGTTGAAGCCAATTCTCATTCACCGTTCTGAAAACCCTTGAACCCTTAAGAATTATGCTAAATCTATTCTTCTAGTACTCCATAAATGAAACAACAAAGTCTAGATAACAGCACATCTGTTCACTTAATATTTGAGATCTACTGGTTAGAAAAAAAGATTCCTTTCAGAATATTACTGTTCATTGACAATGCAACTGGTCACCAAGAACTCTATGGGAGATTAATATTGTTTTCATGCCTGCTAACACAATATCCATTCTGCTGCCCATGGATCAAGAAGTAACTTTGACTTTCAAATCTTATTAGTTAAGAAATACATTTTGTAAGGCTAGAGCTGCCATAGATAAGGGATTCCTCTGATAGATCTGAGCAAAAAAAAATTGAAAGCCTTCTGGAAAGGATTTGCCATTCTAGATGTCATTAACAGAGTTCACGATTCATGGGAAAAGGTCGAAATATCAACATTAACAGGAGTTTGGAATTAATTCCAACCCTCATAAATGACTGAGGGGTTTGAGACTTCAGTGGAGGAAGTAACTACAGATGTGGTGGAAACAGCAAGAGATCTAGAATTAGAAGTGGGGCCTGAAGATGTGGCTGAAATACTGTAACCTCAAAAACTTGAACAGATGAGGAGTGGCTTCCTATGGATGAGCAAAGAAAGTAGTTTCTTGATTTGGAATCTACCCCTAGTGAATTTGCTATGAAGATTGTTGAGTGACAACAGAAGATTTAAAATATTATATAAACTTAGTTGATAAAGCATTCCCAGGGCTTGAGAGGATTGATTTCGGTTTTGAGAGATGATCTACTGTGAGTAAAATGCTATCAAACAGCATCATGTGCTACAGAGAAATCATTCACAAAAGGAGTCAATTGGTGAGGCAAACTTCACTGTTGTATTTTTAAAAATTGCTACAGTCACCCCAAACTTCAGCAACCCTGATCAGTCAGTCAGCAGCCTTCAATATTGAGGTAAGACCCTCCACCAGCAAAAAAGGTTACAATTCACTAAAGACTTAAATGATGGTTAGCATTTTTTAGCAATAAAGTATTTTTAAATTAAGCTATGTACATTTTTTAGACAGACTGCTATTGTACACAACAGACTACAGTACAGTGTAAATGTAACTTTAATATTCACTAGGAAACCAAAAAATCATGTGACTCACTTTATTGCAATATCTGCTTTATTGTGGTGGTCTGGAACCAAACCTGCAATATCTCCAAGGTATGTCTATACTAATTATTCATGGAGTAAAATTCACAGATAACAATAGGGTAATGTAAGAAATATATACATGTAAATAAAGAGATATAACTCATGCTAATAGTAAAACATAAAAATTCACTCTAGATTCAAACAAGATTACTAGCGGTCAAATGTTGAACTGAAAGGTTAAATTGTAAATCCTGGTAAGGTATGGATTTAATTTTGCTAAGATATCTCATTATTTTCACGATATTTTATAACATCTATGTAGAGATAAGCTAATTCCAATTATGAACTGTATATTCCATTGACAGGGCTCCCACTACCTTTAAGATGTCAACAGCATACTTAATAATGTATTTTTAAGGATGTCCATGGGTTCATTTGATTACTTTCAGAACAAAAATAGTTAACAGTGTATCACACAATGTCAAGGTTACTGTCATTTAAATTTACTCATTCATACTTAAATATTTTTACTCTGAACAGATTTTAATTTTATTTTTTAAGATCCTTGGTATCAATAGAAGTCAAAACTGATTTTTTTCTGTTAAAAACAAAAATGTCTATCAACAGAATTCTGAGAAAATAGAATTTTGTTAGTAAGTTTGCTCATGAATAAGCTTTTTAGTAAAACCAACTATAAAATGAGGTCATCCTTAGAAATCTACTGAAAATCCAATGATCCCAAAAATAAAAAATAAAATGCTATTGTAAAGTCATAAGTCTGCTTCCAGGGATCAACATGCTCATCAAACTCCGTGTAGGAACAAGGCCCAAGAGCACATAGGAAAAGGTTTTTTCTGATGACTTCTGAGAAATTCTGTTAGAAGGCATGAGGAAGCCAAAGAAGGGGAGCCTTCTCATTCCAGTTTGGGGTGGAAATACATTTTACGCAGCCCTTAAGCAAACTGGAGAACGTGGCTACATGTTATATTCAGAACTGAAAAGAAAAGCACCCCCCCTTTGGTCACGAAAAGTCTCTTTGAAGAGTCACTGTGTCTTTTAGAGTCTGTCAGTCATGGCTCACGATTACCTTGATTTGTTTTTACCTGTATCAGAGAGGTGGCTAGTCTTACACAGGAGATCTAATTTTCGGTTCCACACACATAGGTCATTCCCACCAGAGAGCCAAACATCTAGTCTTTGAAGAACAGTTAAACACTGCAAAATTCATGAAAATGTTTGTCAGTTTAGAAGTTCATACATTCATTGGTGGTTTTAAAATATGTCCCAAATTCTTTGATACCCTTTCCTTCCAGAGGTGAAGCTTAGTTATTCTCCCCTTGAATGTGGGCTCTACTGAGTGACTAGCTTCTAATGAAGAGGCTGGGCAGATGGGATAGTGTGTGACTTGTCAGACTAAGACAGGAGACATGGTGGTTTCCTCCTTGCTCTCTCTCGGATCACTCACTCTAGGGCACACACACAAGCAGCCATATGGAGCAAGACCCACGTGGCAAGAAAGTGAGGCCTCTGTGCAACCACTAACACTACCCAAGCATGTGAGCCCCTCAGGAACCTCCCAATCCAGTCAAGCCTTCAGATGACATCATGAGACACCGAGCCAGAACCATCCAGCTAAGCTGCTCTCTATTCCTGCCCACAAACACTGATACTTATTGTTTTTAGCAACTAAGTTTTGAGGTAATTTGTTATGTAGTAATAGACAACTAATACACAAGGCTTAAAGCAAACTGCTTTTTAAATAAAACTGAAGATACGGCCTGAGTTTTTATGTGTCTTCAAATTAATATCTCGTAATTACTGACTAAGGCAAATGTTTCAAGGTCTGTAGAAGCCCTTCACCTTTAACAGTGCTCTCCTCACCCACTGACTCAAGTGAGCCCAAGGGCAAGGACAAGCGAGAGGAACAAAGCGAAAAGGAGAAGGTCCTGCTGCGGCTGAGGGTGGCATGGCCTCGAGAGCCCCTGGGATAATAAAGGGTGAAAACCATCAGTGCAGTTTATTTCAAGAGGCCCTGCCCTACTTCTACATGAATTCCAGGACCAGCTTGTCAGATTTTTAATATCGGTACTTTATTCCTTCTGATTACCAAGTAATACTCCACTGTTTGAATATTCAATCCTTTCACCAGTGCATGGCCACCTAGGGTGCTTCCACTTTGGGGCTACTATGAATAATATTGCTATGAGAACCCATGTACATGTTTTTATATGGACATACATTTCCATTTCTCCGAGGGTGACCTAAGGGGAATCGCTGTGTCAAATGATAACCCGATTGGACATTTTTATGAACTGTCTAGCTGATTAACATTATAGTAAAAGCCCCTTAAAAGGTACTTTTGCCATCCTGGAATTAGACACTTTATTGAACAGTTCAAGAAACAGCTCACCAAAGGAATTTCCCCAATACACGAAATTCCTTTCTCCTTCCCTGTTCCTTCAATACATGTGTTTCATCTGAAACCTAATGGTCTTGGACAGAGAGCATGAGTATTTTTTAAGGAATTTAAAAGGGGCATCTTTCAGATCAGGTAAAGCATAGAGATTTGATCAAGTCAACACTTAAATGACTTCTTCAAAGACAGTGCACTGTTAAAGTGGGCACAGCACACAGTAAGTGGCACTTTCTTCCCCATAAACTTTACTAAATTGATGGTTAGAAGAGCAGAGCAGCATGAGACGGCCACCAGAGAGGCTGCCTTTTAGGAAAAAAGGAAATACGCTGACAATTGGCACACAGTGATTCTCTCCCCTCCGCCTTTTTTTTAAAGTGTTGGCTCCAATTTAGAGATCAGTTATCTTCAAAGCAAATGAGGAAAATTATCTCACTTGACTAGTATCTTTCCCCAAACTTGCTGACATTATTGGAAAACAATGGCACTTTCTGAGAACATAAGGTAATTTCTTCTGTAGGGATCAAGGTAACCAAGTGTTGTCCAAGTTTGTTTCTCCAACATGTAGCAGAGTTCCTTGCATGTAATAAACCCCAGTTAATAACTGTAAAATGAATGAACCTAACGTAGCAACCAATTAGCCCCATAAAATTTTGTTTTGGAACTAAGTAACTGACATATCTTTTTATTTTTTTTAGGACTAATTTATCCTACTAATTATTTGTTTTCTTTGTTGACACTATTACAGATGTCCCCCTTTACCCCCTACATCCAGCCCCCCCCAGGCCTTCACCACATTGTCTGTGTCCATGGGTTATACATGTATGCATATATGTTCTTTGGTTAATCTCTTTCATTCCCCCCCAGGCCCCTCCCCTCTGAGATGTCAGTCTGTTCCACGCATCCATGACTCTAGTCCTACCTTGTTTGTCAGTTCATTTGTTCATTAGATTCCACATATAAATGAGATCATGATATTTGTCTTTCTCTGACTGGCTTATTTTACTTAGCATAATTGTCTCCAGGTCCATCCTTGCTGTAGCAAAGGGTAAGAGCCCCTTCTTTTTTACAGCAGTGTAGTGTTCCTTTATGTAAATGTACCACAGTTTATTTATTCACTCATTTACTGATGGGAACCTGGGCTGTTTCCAGATCTTGGCTATTATAAACATATCTTTATGACCTGACAGAAGGCAGAGTGTGAGGGACAAATAACTCCATGTTTTTAGTTCAAAGTATAAAGAAACAGACTACTGCTTATAGAATCATTCTGCAAGTAATGTCTCTTCCTACAATGACCTACTAAAAACATACTAGGTATTACCTTTTTCCTTACCTTGCTATAGAGATTTTCCCCTTGCTCTAATTTCAAATTCAAACATTTTAGCATTTAAAATATATACTTCCAAAAATCTAATATTAGAAGAATCAAATAACTAACTATGTCTGCAAGAAATAACTTTGAAAACCTACAAAAGTAATCTCATTAAAGTTACTTAACAGTTTTTTCTCAGACAAAAAGATTACCATAAAACATCTGCTGAAGGTCTTACCTTTACAGTAGACTGGAAGGATGATACTTTCTGAACTTGTCTGCCAGTATCACAATTCCATACCTAAATTTATGTTAAGAAGTAATTTCTAAACATTTTAAATCTTACTATAAGTTTTCTAATAATTAAATCACAAATGTCACACATTTAGGTAGAAAATAAATAAAGCATAAAATATTTAGTGTTTATACTACTACAAAAATTAACTCATATAGTAAGTCATCAACTTAGCACAGCAGGCTTACAATCTAAAATAATTCTGAGCCTTTGGCTGGTGTGGCTCAGTGTTTAGAGTCCTGGCCTGCACACTGTAGGGTTGTGGGTTTGATTCCCAGTCAATGGCACTTACCCAGTCGGAGCAAGGGTGGGTGCTCAAAAGGTTCTTATGGGTTGGGGGCATTAACTTTTTTTCACTGTACAACGAGCAGGAAAAATGTGTAAATTATTTTCCAGTCCAAGTGATCTTTATTTCCCTAAATTGAAAACCAAACTGGGATACTAAGTATTTTTAAGCTCACTTTCTCCATTTCATCTATTTTATGTAACTTAATATAATAGTAACTCTGGAAAGAACAGTTTTAGTCATGGGGTTTCCATCAATAATAAACCTTAGCCTCCTATTTCCAATCTAATACTTTTCAGATGCCTAATGCTTTTAAAGAAGTGTCTTATGAAAGCTAGAACAAAATCATTTTTGCTAAAACAGGAATGTGCAGACAGACCCAAGAGCCTAAAGACTAATAATGTATATACTAGTCCCTTGAGTCCCTACAGCTATTTCACTCTCTCAGATTTAAGGATATGATAACTGTTCTGTCAGCAGAGGCTGTCAAGATGAGCTGATTTTTTTTTTCACATGCCTCCAAGGAAGGAAATGTAGTAATAGCTGTTATCTTTTGAGTGTGTCCATTGAGTTCCAAAAGTTTCTCTCCTGTCTGAAATACCAAGGAAAATATTATTAATGGGTTCGTATTTCACAACTTAAATAACTTTAAACAACAACACTAAGAAGAATCACCGTGTAGAAAACACACACGTCCTATTTGAAATTACTTAGCCATAAACAATTTTAATTATTTTCTGATAGAAAATACAAATTTTAGCATATTTTATATAAAATGTAAAGGAATAGTCTCTCTATAGGACTTTTAGAATATAAATGGATAAATTAAGCATAAAAATATTCACAACTTAATCTGTAGGAAAAAAATAGAAAGTCATTATCCAAATACTTGTTATTTAAGTCTTCACAGTTATAAAGTTGTGGAAGGAAAAAAAAGTCAGCATAACAACATCAAATATACCTACACCCAACAGTGTATCAATCACCCATAAAGTGAGCCCCACTCCATCTCTATGTAACAGCAACAGCTATTCCCACCACCCAGTCTTCATCCATCAGACCCTCGTGGACTTCCCAAGTAGTAAACATACTATAATACAATGTAAATATGACAAACTGCATATACTCCAAAGTTGCAAGATGTCGTGAATGTGGGGAGCATAATGTCAAAGAACTCCTCTAGTCACAGGCAGAGCCCCTGAAAAATGAGGATCCGATGGTCAGAGCAGGTAACAGGAGAAGACAAGTGCTTCAAAAGAGAATCGCCTGAGTGTCAAAGGATCGGAAGAGAGGCCTCAGAGAAACCTAGTGAAGCCTTAAATATTTTCTTTTAAAATATGCCTTTGATTATATTTCTATTAAATTCAAACATGAACAGCATGCTATACTACGTAATCACACAGTTTTGAAAGAAAAATTGTCTGCCACAAAAACCAACACTTGATAACAAGTTTTATTTAGTAAGATTAAAGGTTTTCTTTTCAGAACTTGGCATTTGTTTCTCAGGAAAGAATCTTAATTAAAAAAACTCTCTATTATGAAATATTGGTCCCCATTTTAAATGAATTCATCTAAGGATCCCTTTTCAAATATTAATTAGTCTGCCTACTAATATGCAGGCATATCCCCAGGTAGTGTTTATGAGCGCATATTCAACTACACAGTCATATCTCTACTGCACAATCCACACAAAATCAATACACACCTGGGCATTCCAGACAACTACAAGTCCATCATCACCAGCAGATGCAAATCTGGTTCAAGAAAAAAGGCCCAAAAAAAAAAAATCATAGGTGACATTTAAATGCAAAGATTACTAAGACCTATCAAACCTTATTCATGATATTCTGATTTACTAATATTAATGCAGATTAAGTTCTTTAAGCTAATTCAACAAATATTGATGGAATCAATGCCTTCTAGGTTTTGTGCGAAGTACTGAGGATACAAAGATAAGTAAGATCAGTTACAGTGTTACAACGAATAAATTGCAGGAAATGAAAGAATGAGGGAGATCTGTAAAGGATCTTTAAAGTCCTTCCTTGCTTTAAAAGCACACGATTAGCCCGGCCAGACGTGGCTCAGCGACTGAGCATTGACCTAGGATCCAGGAAATCAAGGTTCGATTCCCGGTTAGGGCACATGCCAGCAGGGGCGTGCAGGAGGCAGCTGATCAATGACTCTCTCATCATTGATGTTTCTCTCTCTCTCCCCCTCTCCCTTTCTCTCTCTCTGAAATCAACAAAGGTATATTTTTAAAAAATAAAAGTACATGATTAAACCCCAACTTAAAGGACATGAAGCCAAGCTGAGGAACAGCTTCACCACTGGGAGGTGATGTTACAGAAGTGGAACAAAGAAACCATGTCTTTAGATAAGTTAATTATTCCTACTATTTTCTCTGTAAAAATACTGTAACTACCATCTAAAGCCAAGATCTCTCCTTTACTCCTCTCAGCATTTTGGCCTTTTTATATAAAGACTGTGTTCTTGGTATGGGAGGTTTGGGGGTTTTTTAGGGGTTTTATTTTGTTTTTTGTGGTTTTGTGAAAATCCTTGAAACTCAGAGATAAAGTTTGTTTCATGGCAGGAAAAGAGAGCTCTTGATGAGCTCAGTTATAGCTTCTCTCTCCTCCTTGCCTCCTACATTCCCTAGACATAAAGAGCATCACCTACACTTTGTAGGGAAGGTGCCCACGGTACAAACACTATCAGGAAAGTCACCTGCTGTACAGGATTATTCACCACCAATAAAATCAAGAAAGGCCCTGGCTGGTCTGCTCAGTGGTTAGAGAGTTGGCCCAGGGACTGAAGGGTCCAGGGTTCGATTCCAGCCAAGGGCACGTACCTCAGTTGCAGGCTTGACCCTGGCCCTGGTAGGGGCACATGCAGGAGGCAGCCAGTTGATGTGTCTTTCTCACATCGATGTTTCCCTCCTCCCCCCCCCTTTCTCTCT